GAAATGACAATGACAAATACATTTGTTATCAGCAGGTGTTTTGATGATAAAATTGACCACGGAAATTTTTTGAGAAATTTAGCAAAAGAACTCTGTGTGGAATACATCAAGGAAAATTGCGGGAAAAGATCCAAACCTGAGCTTATTCAAATTATTTCCAATTTGCAAAAATTTAAAATGGATGTGTGGAAACAAGTCGATAAAATTTATAAAAAAATATGGTTTTGGATGAAGAATGTGCAAATGAATTGTGTTTCACGTGTTGTTGTGAAAGGAAGACAATGATGGAAATAGAAAATGATCAATAAGAGATCGTAAAAGATAAAAAGAGGGGAGGCAGAGGGAAAGGGAAAAAAGGAAGTCTACAAAAGCTGAAAAGAACCAAAAAATGTGTTATATTTGTAAACGTTTAAGTTGCAAGAGTCATTTTACTTCGTTGTGCAGTTGTTGCTTGGGGCAGAGTACTTTTACACGAGCTTATTCGAAAAGCCTCAAGTTGTGGAAATTGATAAGAAAAATGAACGAAACCTCTTGCAACGTGACTAAGAAGACAAAGTGAATAAAAATAAATGATTTTTGATCAAATATTTTTATATTTGTTGTTTTGTTTTGTATGAAAGAATTCCCTTATGCATTTGACAATATTATGTATAAATAGATTTATTTGATATATTGTATGGTTATTTTGTTTGGAGTAAATTTTTTTTATGCAAGACTTTTATTGTTATGTTATAATTTAAATAAACTATTATATAGTTTAATAATTAGTAACAAAAAACTCCATTTTTTTATTTTATATTTATAAAAATAATTTATATTAACTAATATTTTTAAATATAAGTTCTATATATAAATAGTTTGATAATAATAAGGCAAAATTATCATACTGTAAGTATTAACCAATAATGTTTTATTTTTGTTTTTTATTTTAAATTTTTTTATTAGTTCCATATATTTTTGTTTGTAAAATAATGGCAAGAGATATAAACACCAAATACTTTTGCTACAAATATGACATAAGAAGTTGTATAAAATTGTGTTTAATGGTGTTTACTACTTTGCTTCAAAACCAAAAGATGTAAACATGGAAAATGTTTTTGATAAGCCCTCATAGTAGTCAATAAGAAAAGTCGATCAAGAGGTACCAAGGTAAATTTACTACTCAAAATACTTCAATATATTTATTATATTTTTTACTCTGGTAATTCGTGACTTTTTATAAAAATATTTATCGGCTTGAAAATATATGTCTCGGGATTTCTGATGTTTCTATTGCGTAAATCCCGAAAAAAATATAAAAATTATATCTTCGATATAATATCTTATTTAAATGAGTTCTTATTTGTTAGTTGTTTTGAGTAATATCCTCGTGCAGAAAAATGTTAAGAAAAAATAAAACGGGGATGACAGTCTTTTTTAAAAGACCAAAAGAAAAAAAAAGAAAAAAATAACACTGCCTCATAAAAAAATAACAGGGAAACAAGGAAATATGTTAAACAAATAATTAATATTTTTTTTGTTAAAAACTTTATATTGGTAAAGTTTTTAAGTCCATTAATTTGTTTTGTTATTGTATCATTTTAACTATAAAATTAAGACAAGATACCACAACACCTTTGTTAAAAACAAAACAATTTTTAGTTTTTAAAACGTGTAGACAAGACATCGTCAAATATAAATATATTAATTTGTATTTTGTTGTTTATAAATAAAGCACCAAAGGGTTGTTGTATCTAAAAACTGTTTTAAAACGTATAACAAATTTTTTAAAAAAGTTATCACAATTTGAAATATAGTCTTTTATCTATTTTTATCTGGAAAAAAAGACGAAACATTTAATATGCACACATTGAGGGAGTAATTTGACTAAGATATTTAAGGGTTTCTTGAAGATAAGGTGTATCCTCAGGATTAAAACAATCCTTATTAAAAAATATTTTTCTGAGGATACAAAAATCAAATCCATAAGGTTCGGTTCCCCATAAGGCCCACTTTCATAACTCAAGTTATAATTTACACTATATATTTCGAGTCAAAGTTCAAATTTTAAATTATGGTAATAATTTGTCATAAATGCCAAAAGATTAAATACAATTAAAAAATCGCTACGATAATTGATAAACATAAACAATAATTATATCTCGCGAACTTGAGACGGGAAATAACAAAACATGAATTAAACTTGTTCATATTATGATTTTATACTTATTGAAATTATTTTCGAATCCGTCTTTATAACATAATAATTGAAATTTACATTTAAATTGATAATTGTTTTTTTATCAAAATGAAAATTGAAAAAGTCGAAAACACTGATTTTCTAAAAATGTAATTTTAAAATAACAAATTTATTAATAATTTTGTAATTTATGCAATTATTCAAATTTATTATAATAACAAAGTTAATTATAATATGTTTATTAAATTACTATTGTTTCATTTTGATATTAACTTGTGTTTTAAACAGATTTACAGTTCTGAGGATGGCATTTATTTTCTGAGGATGACAGAAATAGAAAGTTTACACTTTACATCTGTCTGAAATGTATATTGAGTAAGTTACTATTTTTGAATATGGGAACACATCATTTCACTTTTTAGATGTTTAAGTCTGTGTTGATAAAGTCTGTTTGTTACACAACTTACCATCCTCAGAGATATTTATAGCACTGCCATTATTGATTTAAAATTCTATAAATAAAATTATCAAAGAATTTTTATAAAGTGGGTTTTTTAAATTGATTATATCAAAAATCGTCAAAACACAACAAAAACGCCAAATAATATATATAATTGATTACTAAATTAAAGATACATTTATTAAAATTAATATCGTATTATAAATAATAATAATATAATCATAAATTTCTTGTGTGTTTATGTTTTGAAATATAAATAAAACCGTTTATAACAAAAACAATTATATTTTAAAATTTGTTTATTTATCAACCATTGTTTTATCGATCTTAAAAACTTCACATTTAAAATTTGCGATAATACATAAATTGTCATCGCATAGACTATACGTTATAAATACGTTATTTGCTATCAATTTTTAATGTTTGAAATATCATGAATTGATTTATAATAAATTATTTTTGTAAAAAAAATGTTCGATTAATTTGTTTTGTGATTTTGATTAAAAATTGACTTTTTCGATAATTTGAATTTCTTTTTATTGTTTTCATATCAACAAAGGTTGGTCAAGTGGTAAATCAAAAAATAGAAGTAGATTATTTTTTTTTGTAAAAATCAACACCAAGAATCATCTTTCAAAAAATCCATAAATAGCATTTTTAAAGAAAATCACGTGTTTCAAAATATACCTTTTTGATCTTATGCAAAAAAATCTAAATTGAAAGAAATTATGTTAAAGATATTTACCATCCTCAGAAAAATTAACAATCCTCATGAATCCCTTTAGTATTAAATAATATATGATATGTTGTCACTTAATTTTTTAAGGTCTTAAATGATATACTCATTCGAAGAAAAGTTATTGCATATAAAAGTGGGGCGGAAGGCTGACTTTGTGACATTCTACTTAGCAATTTTATCTTTATCAGTTGTGCAAAATTTTAATTGACTTTTTAAAATTTTTATAATAAAACAAATAAGAAATAACACAATGGTTATAATTATCGCGACAGATCACAGTTTTTGATGGGAAACAACCTACACCAATTGATTTCACACTAGATGGTATTGTTACACTGCTCAGACAACTACATCCAATGAAACAATCAAAACCAAATGATTTCACACTCGGTGGTATTGATACACTGCTTAAATCACCACAATTAAAGAAACATTTATTACGAAGTTTTTTCACACGAGATGGTATTGTAATAGCGCTCAAATTAATACATTCTTCGAAACAACCATCTCCAAGTGATTTCACACTATTGGGTATTGTAATGCTTCTCAAATTAATACAATGACTGAAACAACTATTACCAATTAATGTCACACTTGATGGTATTTTAATACTTTTTAATTGTTTACAACGATAAAAACAATAGTCACCAATAAATATCACACCTGATGGTATAGTAACATTGCTCAAACTTTGACAAGCAGAAAAACAACTAACACCAATTGATGTTACACTCAATGGTATATTAACACGACTTAGTCTACCACAATTATAGAAACATTGATTCTGATATACTGACACACTTGAAGGTATCATAACACTCCTTAGATTTCCACAACAAAAGAAACAACCATCACCAATTGATGTTACGTTTGATGGTATAGTAATACCGCTCAATTTTTCACAACAACAAAAACAAATATCACCAAGTGATCTCACATTATATGGTATTGTAATACCCCTTAGATTTTTACAATTTTTAAAGCAGCCATTACCAATAGATGTTACACCAGATGGTATTGTAACATTGCTGAGATCACTACAATTATAAAAACATTTGATATTAATCGATCTCACATTTTGTGGTATGTCATTGCCAAATTTCTTTCTATCATTCTTCGTGTAAGCAATATTTTTAAAGTCAATGTTTGAACTTTTGTTTGTGTTAAAGGTATCAAAATCAACAGTAAACCACACAATAATTTGATAAAACTCTTTTTTTAAACATTTTTTATTTTTGTTGATATCTTTATGTTTATGAAACGTTTTTGATGAAGCAAATTCACCATATATTTTGAATGATTCAAGGTGATCACAGTCTTCAATGCTTTCACCTAATTCAGTGTTGTTTGGAAATTCATTGCCAAAATATTCATCCTCTTCTTCCCACAAATGAAGTGTTTCAATGTTTGGAAAATATCTAATTGTTTTGTAATTTAATGGAATCGGGTTGAAGTGGAACTTCTCCATGTTACCACCAAATTTCTTGCATACAAACTCCAATTTAATTAAGTCTCTGATAGTTTTGAAATACTTCGACACTATCATAACGTGATAACCAGAAAGTCTTGACATATAATTTCTTTTATTATTTTTATTGTTTAAATAGTACCAATTTTGTCTTTGTAAACAGTTTTAAGGAATTATTGATAAATTATATTTCATTGTTCCAAGCTATACAACATTATAATTAAAAATCATTTTTAAAATAATTGATTCAACATATTAAAAATTACAACATTAATTGCATGTTAACAAATCGTTTCAATACATAACCATTAATAATATTTATTGTTTTTCATCAAAAAAATAGATGATTGTTTTTATTCAAATAAAAATAACAATAAAATTAAAATAATTTATTTTTAATGTATTATAATTTAAACAAAACCACAACATATTCAAAAAATTAAATATAAACCATTGTATATTATTATTAAACTCATTTATATTTATTGTATTGATACAACATATTTAGTTTTTGAACCATTTTATTACACTTTAGACATAAGTGTTATATTTGATTTATTATAAATAAAAAATGAGAATGCTGCACAAGTTTGTTATAACAAATAATGAGAAACATATTTAATAATTTTGAATTCAACTTTTAAAATGATTATAAATTAAAATAAAGTAAAATATTATTATTATTATTGTTTTGTGTATAGTTTTTTCATATTACTCGGTTTGGTTCAAAAAACAAAAATTTCAGAAGTCTCTAGTTTTTTCAAGATACTTGAATTAATTATTGCAATTCGTTTATTATAATAACCGAATTTGTAAAAAAATAAAAAAGCAAAAAATTCTATTTACTAATCATTCTTTGGATTGAAAATAACAAAAAAATTCATTTTAAACTCGTTTTTTGTTTTATATGAAAAAATATGAAAAAGTTTATGTTTATTTTTTTTCTGAGTCTAATAATTAAAAAAGACAAAAAACTTGTTTGAACTTTTTTGTGTATTTATTTCTTGTTATTTTAGTAAAATTATTTAAACAAAAACAAATAAAAATCACTGAGATATTTCATTTTATGTTATTTTGAATCTTTTGTTGAGTGTTTTATTAATATAGCTATTAGCTTACACGAATATTATCAGTGATCGTTCTGTTGCAATTTTAAGTGACAATTTATCAACTTGGTTAACATAAATTTATAAAATACTCTTAATAATAAAATGTACACATACTTACGACAAACGAGAAATGTACAGGGGTGAAAATGAAGGTATTAATTTGAAAGCAAATAAATTAATTTAGGGTTCATTATATTTCATTTTATTGGCTAAAAACGAACTAACATGTAAAACATTAAATTCAAGCCATTTTAATCAACATAACTACAACAAAAAACAAGTAAATCTGGACAAAAACCACTATTTCCAACACAGTCACGATTTTTGGAAAAGGAAAATAAAGTTAATATAATAGTTACAAAATTATAAAATTTATTATAAATTTCAACACAAGAAATTATGACCATATTAATTATTTACTATACATTTTATTATTCATGTTTAATAAAATGTATCATTATTTTGTTATTATTCAAACAACACTCAACATAAAAATGATTTACGATAATTTGGGTTGTGTTTCACATCCTTCACGACCGGCCTGAGTATGAAAAACACAAACCAAAGTACTTCATAGAGCCACATTAATTAATCTATATGTTAATAAAAAATTTTGTAATAACTGCGTTGATATAAATAAATAAACAAACCATAAGCTATACTCACCCACTTGTTT